ACATATTACGGTTTCATAATTACGGGCCTTTTAATGCTGCTCTCTAAATGACGTTAAATTAAGGTAATGTTTGTTTTTTAAATTTAGGACAAAACCCGAATAATTGAGCAGTTTATATTTAGTTTAGCAGCCTTTAATTTAGACAACGAAGGCAATTATAAAGTTGCTCTTTAAATCTAGAAAGGAAATAATGGTTTGAATTTTATAAATGACAAATTTTATACATGATTTTGATAGCAACTTTAATTTTAAGAACAATGGCGCAAACAGAATAATCTAAAACAACATAGTTTGTCTCTAATCTTGACAAAACTACAGTCAAAAGACAATAGAGTTTGTCTCTAATTTTGTTAAAACTACAGTCAAAAAGTAAAAGGCGGCAACAGAAAAACGTCAGTTAGAGTTAAGCAGCAGCCGTCACATATAATACATCATTTAGAGTATTTAACGGTAAGTATAATAACGCAAACCGTCTTGTCGGCTGCTTCGTCTTTTGTCAGTTAATTACAAAAAACTAGCCAATAAACAATTATTAAGGACAAAAAAAAAACGCGATGTGTAGAGACAAAGTATACAGCAGCCGTCACATATACATCATTTCGATAGAGAATTTAACGGCAAGTCTAACGTTGCACAATGGGGCCGAACAAAGAAAAAATGGCTAATAATCGAAAAATTTGCCAATCCATGTAAAATTTTGCGCAGTTATAAAAAAGAGTATTCTAAATTGAATGATTAAATAATTATATTTCATTTGAAAAAGTTTGGACCATTTCTTTCGAAATAGAGTCTAATAGGAATTTCTTTAGCAATAAATTGACATTTAGTGCTTTTTTATACTTATTACTTTACTATTTAAGGATATATTTAAAGCTTATAAAAAAAACTTATGGAAAAAAAAGTAAAACATGCGTATTTACAAAGGGGATCGCGGTAACATAGGGGAGTGGTGAGGAGTGAAAGGCTGTGTGCCCCCCCCCCCCACTACTTTTTCAAAATTTTGAACATAAAGTGTAAAATATTATATGAAAATATGAATAAGTTTTTTATACATATGATTAAAACTCATGCTGCTATCTATGTTGCAAGTAAATAATAGAGAAGCTATTGTACGAAATTATTTGTTCAATATTATTGATAATTGATTCGAACTTGCAACCCCTTGGGTAAAGAGTTCAACACTATAACCACTGCGCCACGTCTGCTATTTTTATTATAAAAAATCATAACATCATCATATTGATATATTTCAGAATCTACATTTGTTTCATACATGTGACCGTTTTCAAAATCATCTATATGAGTGGGTCAGAAGCCAAGGGGTACAAGTGACATTTTCATAGTTTTGAGATACAGTTGTTTAAAGTTAAAGTATTTTTGTTAAATATACTCAGCTGTTGTTATGTTTTTCCAGTAGAAAGCAGCACAGAGCAGAGATTTACTTGTATCCCTTGGCCACCAACAATTTTGTTTGCTTCTTCTTTCAAATTCTATACTTAACTTAATTTTATGTAAAATTGTCACTTGTACCCCTTGGCTTCTGACCCACTCATATCATTTTCACTGTTAGAATCATCATCACAGTTTTCATTAATAATATTTGTATTTAAGATTAATAGTTCTCTTACTTCGGATGGCACCTTATGTTTCTTGTACTTTTGAATACCTTATAGTAATCTTGAACTTGAAAGAATTGGATCTAAAGTCTCCATTGCACGTGTGAACACATCAAAGAAATTGTGTTGGCGACTATCGTTTCGAGCATAATTGATTCTATCTGATGTTAAAATTTTATTTCTGAAGATTCTTCAGATAACATGCCAACTGGAACAATTGAGTTTGATATGATTTATGAGCCATGTATCAAAAGTTTATGTAATGTGGGAGTCATAGGAAATTTTTATGAAATTTAACATACCAAGATGCTGTTGTGAAGCAATAGTCATTAAATTTGACTGGGTCAATTGGAAATCGATAAGAAATACACAACACAAGTATTCTTATTTCTTTAAATGAGCTCCAAGTCGATGTCTAAAATTTCAGACAAGAGCTTCGGATCTTCGAATGCTCTTTTTGCAACGTTTCCTGTATTACTATAGCCACCGCTTGATTTTGGAATGTCTATATGAATGTTAAGTTTGTTTTTGAATTGGCTTTGAATTTCAATCTTCCTTGCTTTTATTATTGCTTGGTTTTCTTTTCCATGCACTTGGCAATGATTTTCAGGAAAAACTAATTTATAAAAAATGTGTAACAATGCTTCGAAACAGTGAATATGCATGTGAAGAATACTTAAACCATATTGTAAAGCTGCTGGGTTAACCTTTTGTAAAATTTACTAGTTTATTCATATCTTTTGAAGAACAACCACACACAGTACATCGTTAAAACGAAGATGTCTTGGTAATAAATGATTGAATCTTTCCATCTATCAACGTCAAAACTAGATTACATTCAACCAATAAATTCTTTCCAGATTTTAAAATAATCACAACCTGTTCAAGTTCAGCAATTTCTTCATCATATTTCTCCTTTAATCGAATTACGTATTCTTTACTTTCCTTTGCAAATTGGATTCTCTGTGGACGGCAAATTCTAGTTGATATAAATTATATAATTTATATCAACTATTATATAACTATAAATTTGCATTGAATAACATTAATTTTTGGAATTTCTTTCTCAATAAGTTCAAGCTGCAATTTACTAATTCTTTCTAGAGTATGTTTTAATAAGTGATTCCATTGTACTTCAATGCAATTTTCTGTTTGCAATATTTCTTTTGGACAACATTGAGATTTTTCAACTGATACCAACTTATAAGGAGGGAAATTATCGCCTCTTTGAGTTTTAGCTGCAAATCTTATTTGATTATACTGATCTTTGGACAAATTCGTATCAAAAAGAAACAATAACGCTTGTTCCGGTGGCATTCTCATAACTTCAGAATTAATCTTATTCAACACAGCAGCCAAATTTTTGAATAACTTTGAATAACTTGTTTGATTAAATGAGATAAGTCTTTTTTATCCTTTTGTACAGCGACGGTTGCAGCAACTGTGAGGTACATTTCAGATGGGGTTCGTTATTAGATACAACATTAGCAATCACTCGGGGTATGGATCTGGCAGACATTTCCAAAAACGGCATAGTTGGTCTTCCTCTTTTCGTTTTTTTGAAAACTGGACGGCTGAGGGTCACATTTAAGCTATATTGGAAGCTCGTATTCAGTTTGAAACCAACTTCCATGGTATTTCATGAATCTTGCAGAAGAACAACCTTGCTTTCTCCAAAGTTCGTTTTATCGTTTTTTTATATTTTTTAATTTCTGTGTTATAACTTGTTTTTCTTCTTCCTTTAGGTCTCTTTTAAGTTTTTCTTCACAACACAACAAGCAGTTTTCAATCGCTAGATAATGTTTATCATTTTGTTTTATAATTGTAACAATTTCACTCTACTTAATAGTCATTGTTAAATGTATTTACACATTTCACATTTTTATTTATCTTTGAACAATGCTTTTCAATTGCGTAAGGATTATGTGTTACTGCAGTAATCAATAATCCTTAAAAATTATATAACCGATAATTGTAAATCCTTACAATTATCGGTTATATAATTTTAAATAAATGATGCAGTAACAATTAAAGTAATTATTGGTTACTGCAGATGGCATTTAAATCAGTATACTGATAGAAATGTCATCTGTCTTTATTTTTAGAATTAAAAAAAAAAAAAAGACAAAAAAGTTTTTTAAACGAAAAAACAATGAATCAAAAAGTACATGACAGACTAAGTTTTTATCGCAAGTTAGATTTCCACCGGCCTTCAACAGCAAAATTATATCTCTAGCTTTAGTTATAAACAAATACTGCAAAAAATTCCGACAATAATTAAAATAAGTCAATTAGAAACAAACTAAACAACAGTCGTCACATTCTATACTTAATTTTGATAGACAATTTAACAATAAATATAACGACGCAAGCCGTTTTGACGACTGCTGTATAGTTAATTGGTAAATTGCAAAAAACACCGTCAGAAAAAAGAAAACGTCTATTAAAAAGAAACTATACAGCATACGATTCATCAGTTCTTATACTGTATAGTTTGGCACAAATTTTTATTTTACAAATCGTTATTTTAAAGGATTGCCTTAACAATTCCGTTCAAACCTGATTGTAATTTATTGTTACATTTATGCTTCAATATTATTTCCTTACAGGAAACCGTTTACCTCAACCAGAGTTATATTTCATAGAATTATGTTGACCATGATCCAAATATTGCCATGGGTATAAGATAGTTGTTTGATTTGCAAACTGGATTTGAACATATTTATATCATTAAACATATTAATTTGCTCTTTATATGCTTACAAATAGTTTATTAAATAAAATTATATACTTATTTACTAAACCGTTTTATTTCAATTAATTATTTGACTTTTTATATTTTTCACGGAATTTTCATAGTATATCATATTGCGCTGTTTTTTTTTGTATGGTGAAAACTATATTCAATGTGCAAACTATATTTTAGTTAATCAAAATATATTTTTATCGATATATTCTGTCTCTGATTCCTTCTGTTTCAGATGTGCACTTGAGTCTAAGGCTAATGGTTTGCAAAAGCAAAAGCTTCATCTTTGCCCTTGAGTTGCTGTGGGGTTTTACGGTTTTACTTCCAATCTGGCATATAAGTATCTTATTTTTAAATTCTATTTTATTTGTTAAATTGAAATTAAAATTAAAGATAATTTTTTTTAACAATTTTCTTTTTTATTCGTAAACCCCTCAAGCATATTTATAGGATTAGGTATATCAGGTAGGTTACTGTATATGAAGTTTTATTTTTTTAAAAAGGCACGCAATATGACTTTATTTTTATATAGCTTTTTTTAAAAGTTATTTCTATAGCTTTTCAATTTAAACAACATTTTTGTTGTTTTTATGTTTTAAATTACGCTCAAATAATAAAATTAAATTTATATTTATTCAATGTAAATGCACTTAGTATCTGAAGTTATTTGTCAATAACTGGTGATCAGACTATTTAAACGAACACGTTTTTAAGGGCTGAGAAGGTTAGTTTATTATCTTTGTTGTAATAGCTCTAAACTTGACTGTTTCAATATCAATGCTTGCTTTTAGGTGAAAGTTAGAAGTCTGCAGACTGCAACGTAAATCAATTTTCAACACATGGTTTCCTGAATATATTTAGTTTTCGATTGAGAATAAACTGAACTTATAGATATGTTGAAAATTAACTATTTTAGATTTTAAACGTTCGCTAAACGCAAGTAAAGCTATAATCGATAAATGCAAATATATTCTATATTTTGTTTAAGTTTAAAAAAAAAATATTTTTACTTTTATATTCATGTTGTAATTGTAAATTGCAATTTTAAAATAATTTTATTATAACATCTGATTAATCTTTTTGTTTACTGAGCTTAAACCTTGCCACGTATGACCTAATAGTTTACAGTTGGGGTAGTGTTTTTCGGTGGTAGAAAAATTTTAGTATAATAAATTCGTTTTTTGTCTATAAACCTATGCACAAAGTCAAAAGGTATTTGATGTGTTTTCCAAGCATTGGCAGGATTTGCATTTTTTATGAGTAAAAATTTGAACTGAAAGATATAAAAATTTTTGCTAACGATAAGTGCGTTCAAAATTATTAAAAATAATTAAATGTATATTAATGTATTTAAATCTTAGTCAAAACTTATTAAATATCCTATGCTACTCCGCTATGTTTTTATTAACGGTTAACCGCTGACGGACCGTTGTTCAAACGTTGTCCATTTGCCGCCACCGGTCGGCTATCGAACCGCCTTCAGTTTTCCGCTAATGGACCGATGTAAATACGATGTGCAAGCCAACGCGGCAACGCAGCAGGCGGCCGACGTCGGCACGGCACGTAAATGCTGACAGCGGTCCTTTGTCGGTCCACTTGCTTGATGTTTGCTGGGTAGCTACAAATCCGCAAATGAATGCTTGCTGAATACGATACTATAGATTCATACTTGATTTCGCTGCAATTACTCTATAAGTTAGTCTTATCATTTTTACAAGTAAACTAGCATGTGACTATTCAGTTAATAACTAGCGACTTGCGATATAAGTTAATTAAACTTTTTACTATTTACTAGTGGAAAACAGTGTTAAACTTACCAGTGTTAACAGTGTTAAATCATACCAAATACTTATAACGGTTAGTATCAACTTTTATCAAACTCAATATTGATGATTCAGAGACAAGAATTGCGTTCAATGGTAGAAAATATTCCCAAGTCACGTTAAAAGCAAATTCACCAGGCACATAAACGTAAGTGATTTGAAGAGAAAGATTCAAAGAATAACTAAAAACATTTTTTTTTAAATTGTTATACAAAAGAAGTCTTTAAGTGTATATAAAAAGTTTTATAAAAAGTAATATACAAATAAGTGAACATTAGTATGACATAATGTTGAACAATAATATGATGTTAAAAAAATAACTTACTTCTTTAGTTCTCTATTAAAAATCACATTTAGTGGAGGTTTACAATACAATTAAGTACCTAAAATCCAGAAAACATTTTTCTGTTTTTGAAAAGCTCTGTTTTACTCTAATAAATAGTAAAAAGTTTAATTAAGTTAACCATCTATTATAGTATGTAAACTATTTTTCTAGGGGTTTTTTATTCAAGTAATATAAAAAAACCGTTCAAAAATAAATATTAAAACTTCAATGTAGTGTGTTCTTGGGTCTTAAATAAGAAAAATAAGGTTTCCAAAACGACGATGCGACGTAATCGCCGTCGTCTTTATTCAAACCACCTTCATCTGGAGAGCACTGGTGATAATGAATTTCCGAAGACTCTCTCACTTTTCGCTTTCTGTTTTTATTCCAGCTAAAGGTAATATGGCAGTTTCTGGAATGCCCCGTTACAGCTGAATTTTTCCCTTTTCCCTTAAAAGTATGTTTTTGATGTCGATAAATGTGATTTTATTATTTTATGTAATAAGAGATAGAATAGTTGTGAGCAAGAAGTAGTGTCGAGGTTCAGAGTACAGTAGTACTAAGATCAACGCAAGTATTTTAAATCAAAAAAAGTTTTTATTGTTTAAAAAAGACCATTATAAATTCAATGTCATCTTTAACTTATTTCTTCCATATTTTTTTGTTAACAAAATAAATAACTTTAAAAAAATATATCTTTTATCTATTTACTTCATCGTAATCTTAAACGTTTTTTATTAAAATAAAGAAAAAACTTTTTCTTACAAACAAGATATATGTGTATGTTATCTCAGTTATGTTGATTTTCTTAAAAAAACTTTGTTTTGTGTTGAAAAATACACTATAAAAATATTTTGAAGAGGCAGACATAGTAAGTAAACAGTTTGAAAAATACTTTGAGGCTTTGGTGCTATATTAAAGATTACTAGGTATTGTTAAAATTTTAGGTACTGTTAGCTTTTCAGCTAGGAACTGAAGCTTAGAGCTCTAAAATATCTTTAGGTCTAATAGGTGATAAGACAATAACAATATACAAAAAAATATTTTTTAATCTAAAATATTTAATAGTTAATTTGCCAATATAGGCCTAAATCTAGCTTCAAAAGTCCATTGTCCAAACAACTCATTTGAAACTTATCTAACTAGTGTCAACAACGAATTAATATTTAAAGAACTAAAAATTGAGTTTGAGCGTAAGTAGTTTGTTACTTTTACAAATTGGTTTTGTAAAAAACTTACAAAACAATTTTACCATATTAGTTTTTTTCTCTTTTTTTAAAAATTTTTGTTCTGATATAGCAAAGGAAAAGTGATTGAGTGATTTAACAATGGAGAAAACAAAGCTAATACTTTTTTATAACTATTGACCAAGTCTGTGACACAAATAATTATAAGAAGGGATGTAGCTATTACAACCACATAAATAAATTGTTTGGATTTCTATCAAAACTATTGGTATTATCGAATTGTAATTTAGTGCAAAAAAAAATTTCTAGAATTGTTTTTAATGGATTTAAAAGATAGTTTTATTTTTGAAATAAGGCAATTCGTATCATTTATTTTTCAAAAATTTTTCAAAATTTTCCAAAATTTTTCAAATTTCTAAAAATTTTTCATAATTTTTCAAATTTTTCAAAAGTTGCAACCACAAGGTTTTTTTCTTATAAAAAAAATAAGGCTGGATATGGCAACCCATTATGCATGATTTAAATTGGATAGTCGATACAAATATTATTGATATATTTGTAAGTTTTTATATAGCATATCGATTGTTTTTAACTACTGCCATAGCAAAATGCGAGGCTTAGAGGCAATTTTCTTTTCCTAGAAAATTAAAGAAAATGCACCAATTAACATATGTTACAGTCATTTAAGTAATTTAGCACGATTATTTATTGAATTGATGTTATTTATAACAATTGATTTCAGCAGCAAAATACCCTCTAAAAAATAAAACGTTGATTTGACGTTGATTCAATGTTTCTCGTCAACATTGATTCCATGTTGATTTACTGTCCAAGATGTTAGCCACATATCAACGTTGATTCGGTGTTTACAAAAAACAGTGATAAAATGTTGCTTTTTCAACGTTTAATTAACAAACATCTATTATTTCAACACTGATTTTTTAAAAAGCCTTTGATACCGCGAGAGCGATATCGAAACCGTTTTAATATATACATATAGATGAAAATATATATCAACAGATTATGCAATATGTATATAAATACTGCGTATAAGCATATGTATTATATACGTAGATTCATAAACATATTATTTTATACGTTTTCACAATATGTTTTGAATATACTTATGCAACATGTATATTTTATTAACATGTTGTAAATATAAGATTTACCTAAAACTGTATTAGAAATATAATAATGAAAGAAATTAGGCGTTGCTTCAGTAAGAAAGTTTTTTATTCACTTTAACAAACAAATTTACATTTACACTTTTAAACAATTTATTTAGTCTTTGCAGCGTTGCTCATTTTTAAAACTTTTTGGTTGAGCCGTGTACCGGATTGCTTAAAAATTCTGAAATGCCTGAATGACATTCGCTAATTTTTGCATCGTGATGTTGTCGTGTAATCGCATCTAAATCAAAAATGCGAATCAAATTTGATAAAAAAATCGAAATTCAGAAATTATTAAAAATAGTTACATAAATAAATGACTCACTGAGATAAACAAAGTATAAATCCTGTACAAAAAAGTAATCTGAAAAAATGTTTAAAACCTTTCTTACCTATTATCATTTTAATAAACCTTTTATACCTATTATGATACAAGGTGTATGTTTTAAAATTTATTTTCAAAGAACCGCCAGAGACATTGAAACAGGCCCCAGCGTCCTTGCTCATCAACAGCTTCCCATTAGCAAAAGCTGATTTATATGGAGTATTACCTCCACAACGGCTGATTTATATGGAGTATTACCTCCACAAAGGGAATTCATCTAGTATCGAAAATGATAATATTTAGAAGTTCGCAAATTACGTCAAGCATTTTGGGAGGACAGTCCTTTTATTTCAATTCAAATGGGAAGAGGGGGCAAATAATTTGTGTCGTCGCAGCCAATTTTAAAAACTGAATAAAATAAAATTAGATATATTTATTTTGCTACTTTTTAAAATACACAGCTAATTGTGTATTTAAAATGTAATGATGTTTGATGCAAGCATTGATTTAAAAATAATTATTTAACAAAAACACGCACAAATTGAAGTGATGTGACAAGGAGAAGGGGTTTGACAATTTGTAACAAAAGAGGGAAAGGGTCTAATAAGTTGTGTTGCTTGACGTTATTTGCAAATGAACCCATATGTTTAATACCAAATAATAATATAGCAATAAAATAGAGATTGTTAACTTTTATTTCATAACAATTGTGTTGTAATATATAGCAACTCACCACTCTACCCTTGAAAACATTGCTAGCCTTGACTTTTTCTTCAAGTAAATCCACCTCAGATTTTGTTAAGCATCTTTCAAAAATGGACTCTGTAGATGATATACTAGCGCTTGCTGTTGATGTAGATTGCTGTAGCAATAACTTATCCAACTACAAATGTAAGAAAAACTTATTTTTTTACCATTTACAACAAAAGCACATCAAAATCCAAAAATCAAACATTGAATAGAGTATTGAATTATACTATATGACTGCTAATTCAATCCAGTCTTAAATCCTTTAAAAACAATTATTTTTTAAACTAATTTTGTTTTTTTAAATATGTCACTGTATTAGATTAGAGTCTTAAAGTTCTATTTATCTGATTCTATTCAAAACTTTGAAGATTTGTGGGAGCCCTATGTAATACTTGATATTAAATAAAAAACAGTAGTACCTTCTTATCTATCTTTGCCATCCAGGACAACACAACTTTTTGAAAATCTAAAAAAGATATGTGTTATGAAATGTTAAAAATATAACTATTTTGTAAAAAATTGACCATAAAAATCTTACCTAAATGTAAAAAATAAATAGAACCTAAACACATTAAAATGTATATTCTTAAAAATATAATTTACCCAGAGAAGACAAGTGTGGCTTTCTGCAATCCTCCTTATCTGAAACACAAGTTTTAGAGCCATTTTCTATCTAAATAGAATACACACATATATATATATATATATACAAAGTCAATGTTATTTTCAGCAACTGAAAAGCTTGCTACTTCACTTTGTATGTGTGGAGTTGTTAATGATTTTAGAACTTCTATAATTCAGTAAAAAAATAAACATGTTTATCTTAACAAAGCATTATTTTAATTTTACAAAAGTTGTTAACCTGCTATATTTGGAATCACATTAGATATTCTTTGGCCATTTGAATTCTTCAAATAATGTCTTCCGTGTTGTTCTTCATCACTAACTACAATATCTTCATCACTTTCACAGAATGCCATCGTCATCTTTCTCCTTTAATATAAACTTTACTTTTTTAAAAAAAGTGCACTATTTGTGCAAGTATTTATTGCAAAAAAAAAAAGAATTATTAAAAAAAAAATTTTAGTAAGAATTACTTCCGCTTGTTCCTCTTTTCTCTTCAGTGTTTGTCTCAATATTTGACGTATCTGCTGCTTTTTCCGCGACCGAGCTTCTTCATTAAAATCTATATACATAATATCATTTATCAATATCTACTGAAAACGAAACTGTAATAATTGTGGCTCATTCAATTATATTACATTTTATTATAGTAATATGAAAACCTGTAGTGTATAGAATCCTAGCAGGGTATATCTGCCAATCAGATGTTAGTGCCTGCAAGCTAGTGACAGCCTTGCAAATTGCAGAGGAACTTTTAAATGGCGGCCAGAAGCATTTACCATCATTATTCATCACTTCTTTTATACTTCCATTTAAAAATTTGACAATGGCAAATGACATTTCAATAGTCAGGTACTATTTAAGTCTAAACAATTTTATATATCTAAAAATTAATGCAAATTACAAAAAAAAAATTACATTAGTTAACATCAATGCACAATGCATTATTAAAACATAAAACATGCTTAAATATTTCAATATTTCTTTTTAATACATAAAAAATTTATAAACTGTAATGTATTAAACTCACATTAAAATTATACAATAAAGTAAATATGTCACATTTATAGCAATTTATAATAGAACATTAAAAAACATGCACAGACATTCGTAACAAAATGTGGTCTGGAAGTATAGCAAAAATTCTGTTTTTAATTTAAAATTCAGATAGGCAATTTCACAATGTCTCAGCCGAAAAAAAGCATAACCACCCAAAAATTAATATTCTTAAACAGGAAAAACTATTTAAGTTGCATTTGGTACTATATGAGTTAAATTTGCAGTCAGAATTTATCAGGCAAATAATATTAGCTAAAAACATTACTAATTTACTAATATTAATATTAATATTATTATAAGCCTAATCAAATTGCTGCTAAATTGTGACTTTTGCATTGTAAATTGTGAAAATATTTTCATAATATTCAATTATCCTCAGTTAACTTAAAAGAATATCCTAATTTCATCAAGATAATATTTTTTCAAGTTAAAATTCATTTCCTACCGTACTATAAATAAAAATTTACCATTTTATTACCACAAACAACTTTATTTTACTTAAACAATCATTAAAAAAAGTGCCTGCAGAGCATGCTGTTCGCTCAGCAAAATGCTGTTGTAAATAGCACGCTTAACATTCAATAAATTTGATTTTTTGTCAACAGTAATTCAACGAGTGTTAAGTGTTTAGGATTAAACGTTGATTTGTTGTTGATAAAATTGCCGTTGAAAAACCATACATTTACAGTTGATCGCCGTTGATCGCTAATATCAACACGTAATCAACGTTGATCAACGTCAAATCAACGTTTCATTTTTTAGAGGGTAGTTGAGTTTGCAGAATTAAAAAGCAGAAAGAAATCACTCAATTTACTTCAATAAAGTGAATTTTTAATGATTATTTAAATAGAGATCATAGCGCCAGCTTTTTCAACAGAACTCTTTTTTACTCACTTTTATTTTCACCCTTAAGCAAAAAGTTATATATGGGATAGACGTGGTTTTTTTTCTGCATGTGGTTTTACCCATATGTGGATTTTTTTTGTCCCACGTGGGTTTCAAATGTAAATTCAAAATGGGTTATATATAGAAAATGCCACATAGGATGAGCGTGTTTCATTAGCCTCCTTTTACCTGATAATAAGATAATAGCATTGCAAAATTCATTAGTTTTAAATAAATAAGTTTTCAATAAATAATGAAAAAGCTAAATGGACACTCTATTAATTAGCTTATAAAAAAACTACTACCCAGTAGCCATGGAGCTATATATAGTGAACTTAAAAATTTATAAATATATATCTAAAAAAATTTATAAATATAATCTTAAAAAGTGAACTTAAAAATTTATAAATATATATCTACAGATTTAAATGTTAATACTTAAAAAATATAATCAAATTAAACATGGCAAGCAAAAAAGACATTGAAAGTATGTTGGAAGAAAAATATAAAGTACAAGAAAATTCAATTCTAAAGATTATTTCTGGAAATGCAACAATTCAAAATGAAAAAATGGATAAAATCTTAAAATCAATCGAGTCAATAACTAAACGGTTGTTATTAGAAGAAGAAAAACAAAAAACTTTACAGCAAACTGTTGAAGACCTTCAGAAAAGTATTGAGTTCACTCAGGATACTTTGATCAATGAAAGAATTATATCTCCTAATAAAGATTTAAATAAAGTTATTAAAAGCGAAATTGCAAACGTTTCAAATAAAACCGTTTACGTACAAGAAAATCTAGACGAAGCAAAAATCTTATGCCACGAGCTAAAAGAAAAGATGAGAAAATTTGAAGACAGAAATAGAAGAAATAATATAAGAATTTACGGATTACGAGAAAATGAACGAGAAACTTGGCAAAATACTGAACAAAAACTTCAAACAATTTTTAATGAACAGCTTCAGCTAAAAATATAGTAATAGAAAGGGCACACAGAATTGGAAAAGTTTAAAATAATATGGATACCCCAAGAACTGTTATACTTAAACTATTAAATTATAAAGATAAAGAACTAATCTTGAAAAATGCAAAGAAACTAAAAGGAAAAGGGATCTTTATAAACGAGGACTTTTCGGAAGAAACAAATAAAATACGACGTAATCTTATTGAGAAAATGAAGATTGCAAGAAATTCCGGAAAATATGCAGTTTTAGCATATGATAAACTGATTGTGATGAAGTTAATTCGGAACACTAAATAAGTATCTTTATTCTTTTTTTTCTTCATATTTAGTTGTTTTTATTTTTTTATTTTTAAAAATTTTTAAATGGAGGGCAACTTGCAATTAAAATATTCTCCTAAAAGTTTAAGTCTCAGTGATAAAGATACATATACAAAATACTTTGATCAAATAACATATGAAAGCAATTACTACTCAATTTCCCAAACCGCAAAATATTTTCATCAAAACAAAGTCTCATTTTCAATATTAAATATTAATATACGAAGTCTTAACAAAAACTTTGAAAATTTTTACTTGACGAAGTAAAACACGATTTCGGCATTATTTGTTTTACAGAGACTTGGTGTAAATGTAAAAAAAATCCACAACTTAAATTAAAAAATTATACATCTGTTCACCAACCGCGTAAAATTCATGCTGGAGGAGGCGTATGTGTTTATATCCACAATTCAATCGACTTTATTTTGCGTAGGGATCTTAGTGTGAATGAAACAGATTGTGAGTCATTAGGCATAGAATTAGTTAATAAAAACTCCAAAAACATAATCATAAATACTATTTATAGACAACCAGGTGGGAATTTTAAAACATTCAAAACTCATCTTAGCTCATTCTTAAACAAATTTAATAACGCACAAAAGCATGTTTACATAGTTGGTGATATAAATATTAATTTGTTGAAGCATACTTCTAATAATAGTGTTTAACATTTTGTTGATACTCTACTTGAGCACAATTTCATTCCAACAATTATCAAGCCAACCAGAGTAACGAAAAATTCTTCTACCTTGGTCGATAATATAACAACCAACAATTCCCATGTTTTCACCGGTATAATTAAGACAGACCTTTCAGATCATTTTCCCACCTACTAAAAACATAGCACTACACATAACCCAACTACTAAAAACATAGCACCAAACAATACCTCTCCCAAAACCTCCTTTATACAAACTAGAGATCAAACTCCTTAAAAAAATTTAAAAGTTTACTAAAAAACAATGTTGATTGGGATCTTATATTGCAATCAAGCGATGCGAACAACGCCTACGAACTTTTTCTAGGTCAATTTTGTAAATATTATAAAAAAGCGTTTCCAGTTAAAACTGTTGTTATAAACAAAAGTCACTTCTAACTCCTTGGATGTCTAAAGGTTTAATCAAATCCTCAAGAAAAAAACAAAAACTCTACGACAAATTCCTAAAAAATAAAACTTATAAAAATGAAATAACTTTTAAAAATTATAAAAACTTGTTTGAAAAAACAAAACAATACTCAAAAAAGCTTTATTATTCAAATTTGTTAAATAAAAACCATGGCAATGCTAAGAAAACATGGTATTCGATTAAAGAGATAATCGTTGATAATAACTGTACAAAAAGCAATCTCCCGAAAAAGCTTTTAATTGATGGTAAATTAGTCAATGATAAGATAATAATAGCTGAATATCTAAATAGCTTTTTTCTTAATGTGGGTCACAATTTAGCAGCAGAAATTCCGTCGAGTTCTGCAACATTTCATTCTTACTTGATTGAGAACCTTACCACAGAAAAGATTATGAAAGAAACACATCTAGATTCTAATGAACTGCGATCCGCTTTAAACGATCTAAAAAACAACAAAATTGCGGGCTTTGATAATATCAGTAGCTTTGTCGTAAAATAAGTATTTGATATCATTGAACCATCATTG